TCGACAATGATTCATACAATTTGTTGATGAAGTCATCAGGAATAGCAAAGAAAGCGTCTTACATGCCTCCCAGTGTTCATCAAGATTCTTTGGTTTTGCCTTCCATGCTTCCTCATTCATTCTACCCCAGACATGCTCAATGATGTTCATGTCTGGTGACTGGGCTGGCCAGTCCTGGACCACCTTGATCTCCTTCGCTTTGAGAAACTTTGATGTAGAGATAGAAGTATGCGATGGAGCACCATCCTGCTGCAAAATTTGACCCCTTTTATGGTTGGGAATGTAAGAGGTAGCTAATATGTCTTGATATTTTAGGTTAGTGATATTGCCTTCCACCCTGCAAATGTCTCGCACACCCCCATACTGGATGTAACCCCAGACCATGATTTTTCCGCCACCAAACTTAACTGTTTTCTGGGTGAATCTTGGATCCATGTGGGCTCCAGTAGGTCTCCTGCAATATTTGCGGTGGCTGTGATGTAATTCAACTGAGGATTCATCTGAGAAATCCACCTTCTGCCACTTTTCCAGTGTCCATCCTTTTAGCAGGCTGTGGGCCTTGGCAAATGCCACACGGTTTTTTAATTGCCTTTTGTTTAGTGCTGGTTTCTATGCACTGATTCGACCATGGAGGCCATTTTGAGACAGAATTCTACAAACTGCTCTGGTTGACACAGGGACTTGAGTTGACCAGGCCTGGTGGAGCTCTGCTGCAGTGGAAAAGGGGCTGGCCTTGGATTTTCGAATCAACAAACTGTCCTCCCGAGCAGTTGTCTTGCGGGGTCTGCCGAACCTGGGCTTGTCAAAAACATCTCCAGTCATTTCAGATCTTTTTCTTATTCTTTGTACTTGACGCTGAGACACATTGAAGGTGTCAGCCACCTCAGCAGTGGATCTGGTCTTCAGCCTCTTGATAATTAACGCTTTGGTCTCAGGGTGGATCTTAGGCATGTTGTCAGAGGTCAAGTTGCAGTTGATGTGAAGGTCTGGTGTGCTGGGGTTCTTTTTCTACACACCCACTAATTGACTGATCAGTAACTGATCACAGGTGAGGCTGTAATCTAGGATTGGGTGCATCATATGACAAGGCGACAAGACTTTTGTCTTGCCAAAATCTGACCTTTCTGTGTTCATTAAATGATCAATCTTTCTTCAGTGAAGCAAATTTATTTTAGTATATTGAGCATAATTTGGGAGGATTTTAGCTTTCATATGAGACATTTCTAAAACCAATCGATTAATTTAAAGTCAGGTTATAAGCTTTTGTTTCTACAAAATGGATAAGCGACAAGACTTTTATCAGGGACTGTGTGTATATATATATATATATATATATATATATATATATATATATACACATACATACATACATACATACACACACACACACACACACACACACACACACACACACACATGATATAGGACATTTTGTAAATGGAAGTTAACTCCAAAGAACTGTAAATGTAAACTGTTATGCAAAATGAGCATTGTTGTGAGACTCTCGTGGTACTTCTAACCCCAAAGTGACATAACTCACAGAACAGAACAGAAAGTTACAGTGAACTAGCAGCACTGGGCCAAAACATTTCCAAAGCTGTGTGCACTGACCCTTGCAGAAGTTTACTTAGCAAAAAGCTAATGGAAATTCTAATAAATAATGAAAAGACACAGCATGCTGCGCATGTATGTTGTCATGCTTCTTTTTGGTTTTGCCAAAAAATTATTACAGTGTAATTACATAATATTCAAAATGGATAAAATAATCAGAGCAATGTTTCATAATTTGCATAGTTAAATATTTGATCTACAAACTTGTGTTAAAAGAACCAAAGCCTTTGGACAGACCAGTCTTGCATCTTTACTGTAGAGAGGTTATCCACAGTGCAGGCTGCAGGCTCACACACTGAGTAACCTGAATACATGAGTGAATCTGGATGTGACGTGCAGAGCGCAGGATCCTCTGAGGCCTGGCACTGTGCAGGGGTCACTGCAGGCCTTTGGTACTACATGGTTTGGTCTGCACAGAAACCTTTGGTCCTTTTGGACTGGATAGTAAAGCATGACATGAGGAGAAGGGATCAATCTCATAACACTGATGAAACCTAAACCTGCAGTGCCGTGGTTATTTTGGATTTTTTTATACAATGTTTTGATTTCTTCTACACGTTATCAAGTGCTAGGAGTTATCCTAACACATTTCTCCACGGTGAGATTAATTAAGTTCTATATTACAAATAATTCATACACTAGAATACAAAAATAAATGTCTTTTTAAATCATGAGAGTGACCTGACCTATAACACAGTTAATGTCATTTTCAATAACTAATGTAAAATAAATAGATGAATTAATCAAATTAAGTGCTGAAGTGTCCAGCATGTGATATAGTGGGAACTCAAGAAGAACAGAAAATAAACCGCAGCAAGACCCCTGTGGGCGCTGAGCAAATGTTAACACAGAGGTTCTGCCCACTTGAACTTGTGCTACAACAGCTGGTGTCAGAATGAGCAAAGAACCAAAGTGATCTAAAGCGTGCTAAGGAAGTTATGTCCAAATGTTGTCAACTTTGACAAACAATCCACATGAGTCAGGAGACAGTGGTATACTACAGACTATGCTATGGGTATATTAAATGCATAATATGTCACAATCTACAACACTATCTGAAACACACAGTACATACTGCACATATAAGGAGTCAGGCCAGCATCTCTACACATCTACAAACAAAGTTTTACTTCCACAGTGCAATATTTAACACATGTAAACTGACGGATACAGGGCATGAAATACATTTTAAAAAGCAGCATAGGAAAAATAAATATTAATGGGAAATGATGTACTCTTAATTTACTGTGAACTTTTCACCTTGCTAATGTTGCCTTAGGCAACATCCATCTCATCCCTCTTACCCTATTAGCTGGTCTCACGTGTCAGCAGTGTTTGCAAACAGTTGAGAAAAGTCGATAGTTAATGACACTGATGCAATGACACTGGCACATGGTGGAGCAGCCCTTAACCCGGAGCAGTGGAACAGGTCAACAACAAACTACAAGCTGAAATTCTAGGCCAAAGTAAAGCATAGATTATCTGGTCAGCAAGCTCACAGACTTCATTCAAATAGTAAGGACGGGCCGCTTGAAAACGTGAAATGTATTAATTTAATACATTGTATTAGTAATTATTGATCATTTACATTATATTATACACATTATATATTTGTTAGATTACTTGTGATGTATTTGGTTGCTATAGATGTTCCATTTGGAGGAACAGTCATTTTTGAAACATGCCAAATTGAATTAAGTGTGAGTTTGTGAAGCTGTTTTGTGAGTGGAGAATCAGAGCGCTCTGTTCTAGCCTCCACAGTGATTCATTCGATCCTGAGGGAAGGTGATGACGTGACCTACTACTCCACCACTACTTCATGACATTTCTACTGTCTTCTTACAAGACGCCGTCTAAAATCACACACATACTTACACTAGCATTTGCAAGACCTGTAAAGTAAACAACTAATAACTTACCTTAAAAGTTCCAAACAGCCTAATATAAACTGTTGAATAAATGTCTTGATAAACCACATCTAAGGTTTGAAGCATAAATTGTACAAAAGAGAAAGTGTGTTCCAAAGTCCAAAAGATGTTTCATGGATCATTTACTGGCAGGGACAAACACAAGCATCTTGAAAACATATGCCCAGAATGTTCCCAATTCATTTGTATTACAAAACGCTTGAGAAGTCACAATCTGAAATTCTGTTCAGTTTCACTTTGACATGTTTTATGTAGACTAAAGAAGGAACAGAATATTAATTTAAGACTATTAGGATGTTGTAGCTGCTTTTTTTTTTTTTTTTTTATCGGTCAATTGTTCAGTTATACATAGTTATAATTTAGTGGGGCTGCATGAATGTACAGAAACGCAATGCCCAGGAATAGAAAATTTTGTTCATGTGAATAATTCATTTTGGGCTCGACCATATCATCTAATTTATATGGGGATGATGTGAAATTAGAAATATTGTGATGCACACCAGCTGATTCTCCTCTCAGTGGTGAGCGCAGGCAAACAGAGGCAAACTGTTAAAGCTCAGAGCAACTAAAACACTTAATAGCAGAACTTACATATAACTTCAGTAGCTCAAGACAAATAATATTACAAAGCAACATTATATATAGATATATTGTCAGTTGTCAATAATCCATTTACTTATTTGATATACCTTGATTACTACCTAATAATGTGGAAATGTAGTGTTAGTGGTTTTCATATTCTGCAAGAGCCTGTTTTTCCTATCGATCAGATTGTATTTTGCACTGAAATATGCAAAATACAATCTTTGTGAACTTCAACATGATTAAGATCACAAATGTTCAACTTAATCATTTTAATTTGTGACTGGACGCAAACTCACTGTATTACAATAAAAAACTGCCATTTTTACTATATTAACATATTATCTGTGTTAAAGGGACTATATTTTCTGCTCTGTGTTTTAATGTTGTTTCCTCATCAAAATCATTGCAGTTGTTTATTTTTAATTCAATTCATACATGTTTAACACACTAATCCTGCACCCTGCAGCTCCTCAAGCTGAGTTCATCTCTCAAATTCTGTTCCCCCTTGTCATGTAGTAACATAAGAAGTGCTCCACTGTGTTTTTAAACTCCATACTAGTGAAGGTTCACTAGAATCAATTGGATAATTTCAGAGCAGAAATTGCCAATCTCTACTGAACTAAAGGTAAAAAGGTAACTGCTGACTTAAAAACTACTACTTCATGAAGTCATAAAGTGGAGGTTTTTGAGCTTTGGAGATTTAGATAGACAAATAATAAAGTGTTACTTACACATGTGTGAACGAAACAACTCCATGTAAGTTTTTGAGGATGTAACAGCGTTCTAACGTGGCATAAAGCTCAGAAGAGTCAATTTTGCGTAATTTAGGACCTTTAAATATTACTGGCCTAACCCAACAACACAACATTGCAGTACCTGGCTTGGCGTCCTGGCTGCAGGCTTGTCTTGATGGTTGGCCAGTATAAGGAAAGGCAAAGTACAAAGCTGTGGGTGTTGCAGGGCAGAGTGCAGCTCATTTCGTGCAGCCTCCAGGTCCTCATCAGACGAAGCGCTGTCCAGGACAAAGATCACTCCCTGGGACCCCTGGTAGTAACGGCTCCAATACTTTTTGATGTTGTCAGCACCTAGACATGTCATAAAAATAAATAATTAGAAACACGAATGCACATTGTATTTATATTGTATGCCATTATTATAATTATTGCAATACATTTTGAAGAGTCAAATGTCTTACTATTATTATTATTAGAAGTCATATTGAAACACAAATAGTTCATATTCTGAGGTAATAAAAAAAAACTTGCATGTTTTTAGATGAAAGTGAGCCATCTGTGTAAAATAACTAATTATCTTATTCCACCATTTTAATTTATAGGGACTTTTGTTGCAATAGGCTGATGCTAAGAATGAAATTTAATTTACTTTAAATTAATCTAATGTTGGTAATTGATGAACTGTATAGTGACATTAGAGGCTCTTATCCATTCTGCTCCTTCACTTTCACCTCTCGTCCCACACTTCGGCTTGAGTGGAAATCGAGCAAACAAAGTGGTACTTGAGAGATGGACTTCGAAGTCTCTCTTATCTTTACCATGAAACACTCTGGTGTCTGTCTACTCTCATTACAAAGAGGAGGCAACTTCTGCCCCCTATTGGTTTGACAGGAGATTTCTAGTGCTGCCACAGTTCTGTTGACAGTTCGTATTGTAAGCATCCCTAATTGTACATCTGTGCTTGTTGGCTGCAGACCTCGAGCCATCTAAATCCGTTTATCAAACATTTTTATATATCATGTTGGCTTAATTAAACTGCTTGACATTCACACCTGAACTGTAGTACTGTAAACTCTGCAAAAAGAATAAATTATTTTGTCCATGCTTAGTACATGTGGCAGTTGTACCATACAACTCAAACCATCACAAAACTATTGTGAATTTACTGAAGATTTTTCTGGCTCTCAGTTTGCAAGAATCAAAGACCCTGTGAGAGCATGTGCTTTGCACTTCAATCAAAATGTACTTTTACTTGAAGCTTTTTCTGCACCAAATCTCTGCTCAGTCCAGAAACAGCCGCTGGTCCCTTTTGAGGCTAATAATAACCACATTGTGTTCAGTGATGTGTGCACATGTCCTTTTGCCTGTTGGTGGTCGCTGAAAACTTTTCAAAAACTAACATAAAAACAAATGAGGAGTACTTTATTGTATTAATGTGGTTTATTACTGCAATGTTTATCCTCAATGATTAGACTGGCCTTGAGAAAATAGAAAAAGGCTGCAATCATCATGTTATGCATAAAATAGATTTTCTTAATGACTTAAAAGATACTGTTTGTACTACCCATCCCAGCAGATAGAGAGGTGACTATTGGGAGCACTTGTCCGTTGGCTGTTAATGTGCCACGAAAGAGCATGGGGAAATAGCTTGTCTAGACTTGACGTCACATCAGTGTCCAGACATACACGCACCACACACTTAATAGATCCTCACCGTGTCCCCAGAGGTGCCCTTCCCACCTAATCTGTATACCTGGCACCAGCACTCACTGCATTTGACAGTGTCTGTGTCCAGTAGCTCACAAGCCCTTGTTACATGATCCTCATTAAATGCATGAAGTACTGTAGGTGATCCTAGGCACTTTGATAGAATTAATGGAGCATACCACGCTAAAGCAGTGCATGTTTGACTACTGAACGCTATAATGGTAAAATAAAATAAAATTTTCGAGAGTACTTTTTTGTTATTTTTCTGTACTACAATATGAATTGAACAGTGGAGGGTTAAATAAATTATTTCAATGATAGACAATAAGAACTAGAGTGTTTCATTCTGTTGTTTATAAATTGCAGTTCATGTTTTGTTTTACAATATTGTACACTGATCATAGTTTTATTGTATGTTTTATTTTATTTTTTTTATTATTTGTTGTTATCGACCTTGTACTATAGCACACAACTGTCAATCTCATTTTAAGAATCTAGTAGATTTCTTTTGTATTTTTTATTCCAAGGTATAATGTAAACACTAGGAGTTGGAAAAGTTTTGGAGGAGACTAGACCCAACATGGGAGGTGCAGGTGAAATAAAAAAGGTTTCATCTGAAAAAACAACTTGAAGTGTCAAAACATCACGTGCTCGTCTTGTGCCCCTGAACTCATCCATAGCGGCCGGCATCATAAATCGCTCAGATTCTTTTACTCTGTATTTACAAGAAAAGGAACAGGGGAGGAGGGGTCTAGGCGGGGGGCAGAGAGAGAGGGAGAAAGGGAGCAGATTTCATCATTCTTTACTGTGGTGGTACGCCATATACAAACGCCCCTAAATCAAACGTGTCATCCATGGGACTAGTGTTTTTCCTACCACAATAATGCCCCACCAGACAGCCTTTAACCTAATTCAGAAAAAAACTCTTTTCAAAAGCGCCCAATGTGCTCTGTCCAAATTTGGTAGCGCCCTCGTTGGTGGTCCCGGGTGCCTCTTTGTGTATGTGTTACTGTGTGTGTCTGGGAGAGTATGTTTTTCATCCTTTCAGAGCGTCAGGTTGATTCCCTTCAAAATATGCATTGCACCTGTCATATGTGTGTTCACAACATGAGAAAAAGGATGGCATCACTTCAGAATAAGTGATTTCTGTGTATCAAGGTCTGGAAGAACTATTTGTTGTTTATGTTTGAGCACCTTGTCCCCGCTCATCTGGGCTTCCTCGAGTGCTTCACGTTTCCAGGAAAAACAGCAGCAGATTGTGCAGCCACTTTACACAACATTAACAGGTGTGACGTCTTTCCTCCCACAGTGAGCACAAAGCATGACGCTACAAGAGGTTTCCCTTTTACACATTTACAAATAAGACTTCAAAGTGAAAAACATCAAGGATCTGCTTTGGCTACGCATCAACAAGCACTACAAGTGATGGTAAATATACCTTATTTGACTATTCACAATGTTTTATACACTTTTATTCCAGAGTCAGAATTCTAATGCTGATCGCTGTACATTATTTTTGTATTTTTTGCATCAACTAAAACAGAAATGCTTTGAACATCCACAGACAGCTAAAAGGTTGTCAGATTTAAAAGTTAACCATTTGCAGTTTGTGGGACCATGGTACAGTATGTAACATGAAATGAAATGTCAAAGAATACAGTTACTTTTCTTCTTACCTCCAAGTTCTTTTACATTCAGAATAGCATTTGGGAATGGCACAGCTTTAATACTGAAACCTGAAAAAGAAAAAAGTAATTGAAACCAAACAGAATAACATCTATATTACATCACCCTTGATTAACAAAAAGCGGTACGATGGTAGCTTGCCACAGGCAAGTATTGGAGTGAATAAATAATGCACAAAATTGTAAAGTCATTGATAAAGTAAAGGCACTGATATTGTTTGATCTAATTGAAACATTGCACTACACTTTTCCCAATATCTTAAAGCAGGCTGAGCTAAGGCTGAGCTTCTTTTTTTATTTCCATGATTATTTACATATTTACATTGTAGATTCTCATGGAAGGCATCAAAATTATGAATGACACATATGGTTGCACTGGTTAGCAGGTATTTTTACCCATTTCACAAACTGCTCCAGTTGTCTTAGGTTTGAAGGGTTCCTTCTCCATGTTTCAGCTCCTTTCACAGATGTTTAATACCACAAGACCACTTCAGAACAGTCCAGTGTTCTGTTCTTAGCCATTCTTGGGTGTTTTTAGCTGTATGTTTTGGGTCATTGTCCTGTTGGAAGACCCATGACCTATGACTGAGACCAAGCTTTCTGGCACTAGGCAACACATTTCATTCCAAAATACCTTGAGTCTTGAGATTACATATCGACACATATTCAAGACACCTTGTGCCAGATGCAGCAAAACAGCCCCAGAACATAACCAAGCCTCCTCCATGCTTCACAGTAGGAAGAGTGTTCTTTTCTTGGTGTGCTTCATTTTTGCATCTGTGAACATAGAGCCAAAGAGCTCTAGTTTTGTCTCAGCTGTCCAAAGGACATTCTCTTAGAAGCTTTGTGGCTTGTTAATATGCATTGTGACAAATTCCAGTCTCACTTTTTTATGATTTCCTCTCAGCAGTGGTGTCCTCACATGAAGTCCACTTTGGCATAAACATTGACGGATGGTGCGATCTGACACTGATGTACCTTGCCCTTCCGAGTTCACATTTAATTTGTTTGGAGGTTGTTCTGGGCTCTTTGGTTACCATTCATATTATCCATCTCTTCAATTTGTCATCAGTTTTCTTCTTGCGGCCCTGTCCAGGGAGGTTGGCTACAGTCCTGTGGACCTTAAACTTCTGAAGAACATGAGCAACTGTAATCACAGGAACATCAAGCTGTTTGGAGACGGTCTTATTGCCTTTATCTTTAACCTGCTTGCCCATCATTTTCTTTCTAGTCTCCTGGCTCCTTCGCTTTCTCTGGTCCATGTTCAGTGTTGTATCCATCATGTCTCCAAACAGCACAATGACACATGTCCATTTAAATAGGCAGACTGACTGAGGACAAGTTTGAAGACACCTGTGAGGCTGATTGGAGGACACACCTAAGTTTAACATGTCCCTTTTGTCCAGTTACTTACAATCTTTTCTAGGGGTACCATTATTTAATTTTGTCCAGGCCGGTTTCATTAGATTGTTTTTTAAAATGATTCTGTTGAACAACAATTCATAAACAGTGTGTGAATATATATGTGTGTGTGTATGTGTGTATATATATATATGTGTGTGTGTGTGTGTGTGTATATATATATATGTGTGTTTATATGTGTATGTGTGTATATATATATATATATATATATATATATATATATATATATATATAATACACACACACACACACACACACACATATATATATATATATATATATATATTTTTTTTTTTTTACACACAAATAGATATACACAAACATATACAGTGATGTACACTGGTAGCGAGTTTGCATTGAGCAAGTGAATTGACTGACTGATAATGAGCTGATAATAAAATACAGTGAATACAAACCTGTAGTGGGAACGATGCCATCACTGCTCTCGCTGCACAGGCGGGACAGCAGGCTGGTCTTTCCGGCACCTGTCAGGCCGATGCACACCACATCATACTCTGGTCTGGGCGGCGGAGGTCCTTTACAGCACAGCGCACGGAAACACTGCAAGACACAGCAGACTAACTGTTCAATGCTGCCATAAAAATGTGTATTACATAATGTTCTGAAAGATGGAGATGTTATTACTTTATCTGCCCTAGAATATTTCACAGTATGGCATTAAACTTGTCTATCTCCATGGAGACAAGCCAGTGACGTCATGAGGGCAAGTGAAAGGACAGATATGTAAAAAGTCAATCCAGTGCTCAGTAAGAATACTACTAAAACACCTGTAATGAAACACATATGCTAAGTCAATCGGTCTAATGCTGTACTATGGAACATTTTTAGGTAAAATGGAAGTAGCAGAGCTTCCACCAGAAAAGTTACATAGTACAGCATTAAAACACTTAAAAGAAGTCACCACACATGTTGTATGTATGGAGTGCAGTTTGTGTGGTGCAGGGCTGGTGTGGGCTGCAGGTCACCAGTGGTGTGTGGTTGGAGACCCCCAGAGGCAGACCTGTCGTGCTTGAGTCATGACCTGGGTCCAAGTGCCTGCTGTGAGACATTAAGAACAAAATGCAGTGTGAACCGTGAACAGCACTTTAAACGTGTGTGGAGAAAGCAGCAGTATCCAAAGCAAAAAGAGATCTCTTTTATTAGCAGGACAGGAACCAGCCTGGACAACACGCACACTTCACTATATGTGCAATATCAGGTTTCAGGAGCAGCATGGGCACATAAGACCACTCGCTGTTTATGACATAAGAGGGGTCTATAAAAACAAGTGGAGATCAGCAACCCTTTACCCTGTCTCTCATTTTAGGACTACTGTAAATTGTCCTTTCAATGAAAAGTAAAAAGTTGCTAAATTAGTGCAACTGTTGCCAAGTCTGTAGCCAGCTACTATACTGTGATTTATTATCCATTGTATCCAAACTAAGAAAAAAGTTTCCCTGTCAATATTTGGCATTATTTCTATGGTGATGAAAATAATTCAAAGACAATAGTCTTGAGTCTCCTATCAGACGGTGCCCATCAGCTCCAGACGTGAACGTAGCAACCCGACCCCGACTCCTGCCTGAACCCGGCCGTCTGCCCCAACAGGAAACCCCGTTCTCTGCACTAAAGGCTCCATCAGAAACACTCTGTGTATCAGGAGAAAAGTTAATGAGAATACGACAGGCCACACACAAAAACACACAAACAAGGTCATATACAACAATGAATATCAATGCAAATGTGCATATTATGCTAAACTGACTTGTTATAACAGCCACCTTCCATCAATAGCTTATTGTATTTTTATTCATGCATGTATTGTTTTGTAATCAAGGCACATGTTTTTTTTTTTATGTACACCCTATCTCCACCCAATACTATACTTCATTCAGTGCTCCTAACTGTATCGTATTTTAAAGCATTGTGAATCAATACTGTAATGATTTTTATGAATTGGAATTATTGTACAAGTGCCTGCAGTAACTGTAATTGTCTTTTTTGTATTGTATCAGTCTACTAGTGTTTGCACCTTTGTACTTCATGCCTAAGATTAAGTTCCCAGAGTTTACCGTTCATAGACCAAAAACAGGAGGAATCGGGTAATGACACTAACTACTTAAATGTATGTATGTGTTGTATGAGGTCAGGCTGAGTTGAGAACTTCTAAACTGTTTGTATGTTGTAGATGCACCTGACATGGATGGAAGGCACAGGACCTGGTGCGTTTTTAGAACACGCTCAGTATTTTTAGAGATAATAAATGTGGGTGAGCAGAGCCCAGACGCTCCAGACTGGTTCATGTTACATTCCTGTACACACTGCTCATTCACTGGGGACTCCTCTTTTACTAGCAGAATTAAAGACAATGCGCCTGATGTGACCATGATCGATCTCTGAATGAGACCCTAATCCTTGCACATTCACTGCTGTCCTTATGCACACTACATAAGGAAGTGTTCATCACATGTGAGAAAGATGAAGAATGTTTTACATAAACGTGTGGCAGCCAAGCAGCACTGGTCCATTGCTAGTAAACATTTTAAATAGTGCAAATGAGTTTGTGTTACTAAATATTTTAAATAGTGCAAGTGTTATTAAAGGGACAGAGTCAGTAGCAGTGGAGTGAAAAATGAAAGGGAAAGGACATGCAGAGGCACAGGGCACAGATGGGTCCAGTACCAGACGTTTTTATTTTTCCAGACTGGGTGTCGGGACAACACTTGTGTGGAGGACTCACTCGTGACCTTTGGAAATGACAGCCCTTTATATGGGTGTCCCGGCGGAGAAGCAGCACAGATTTGTGTGTAATACACACCGGCAACAGTCATAACACAGGCCCGTAAAGCTGTGAGGGCGGGACAGACCGCACTGTAGTGTGCCTCGCTCTCAGAGCCATGGGGGCAGGGAGCTGAGGGCCACATTCATTCATCCTCATTCATCTTCTCCCCTTCACTTGTTGTTGTTATTTGCACTTTGAAGCAGCGGGTGGGGGTGCTCAGTACAGTGAGGGGAGCGCTGCATGCCATTCTCGTTAAGGCCCAGACAGACATGGCTGCTCATGGGCTCTTCCCAGGCCTGTGTTCAAATGACTGAGACTACTTTGCCTTCATACAACATCAAATATCTTCCTAGGAAATCAAAAAGGTCTTTCGTCAACCCAAAGATTTGGAGGGAGAAATTAGACTTTTTTGTGTTAAATGGTTCTCATTAAATGTGTGCAAGTTCATACAAGAGGGAAATAATTAGATACCTTTTTTGTCATATTACCTAACTCTACGTAGTGATTTGACTTGGTGCACTCCAAAAATAGTGGCTTGTCAGGTCTCTGAACAGGTGCATTTATGAGTTGTGCAGCAGGACTAGAGCTCATGTGCACAATTGGCCTATCACTTTTATCTCTTGACATGAGTGTAGGAATGCGTTGAAAACAAGCCTTTGAGTGCATCATTGTCTAGTGTGGAGTGTCCGACATACAGCAAAAATAAGGTGACCCTGTCTGCATCAGTGTAGCATCCGTCTGGTGAAGTAGACCGTGCCATACTTAAGTCAACAAAACCTTCAACAACACACATTATGAGAGAGACAGAAAGAGAGACAGAGAGGAAGAGGGGGAGACAGAGAGATGGGAGAGGGAAGGGAGAAAGAGGAAGCGAGAGAGGGGAAGGGAAAGGGAGAGAGAGTAAAAAGGGCAAAGAAAGAGCTGGGAGGAACAGCGAAAGAAGGAGAGAGAATGGAGAGGGAGAGAGATGGGGGAGGGAGAGACAGATAAGAGAAACAGGGATGAAGAGGAGGACAGGGGTGTGACAGACACAAAGGGGGAGACAGAAGAAAGAGGGAGTAGAAGGAAGACAGAATGGAAGGAAGGGAGGGAGAGAAGCGCGTGAGAGACATTGCATAGATGCATTATAAATTTACATATATATATATTTAAATCTAAATAGTCGAATTGTACAGTGACATTATTCATAAAAGTGTAAATATGGCACCATATCATGACTCAGTCTTATAAAGCAGATAAAACACTGGCCTCCTCCGGGTCCTTCCTCACACTACACACACACTCAGAGGCTGCTGACCATCAGCTGAAGAATCTAGAATGGAGGTAAACATCATGAACCTCTCCAACTGGGATCATGAAGTTGGGGCACTTGGCTAAAGTTACCACCAAATCTGTCAATATGAGGCAAGCTGTATCTGCAGCATCGAAAATTATGGAGCCCTTAACATAAACCATTGATGACTAGGGCATTTTCACATGAGGTTTCACAAGAGGACAGAATACAGAGTGATTAGGTGGCATAAACTGCTGTAAGCACAGTGACAGAAGCCTTGACTATTACAAGAAATGGGACTGTTCTGATGGAGGCTGTATGTACCTGGTGCCAGGGGCCAGTCTAGACACGCAGGTATAGCAGACTCAAACATCATCTGGATGTGGCAGTGGCACCAATCCACCCCATCAACAATACCAAAATTAGTTTATTTGTTTGGATCCCCATCAGCTGTCAACTTGACAGATTCCATTTCTGTGGCCATTCCCTGAGAAAGAATACCATATTCTGATTTAATGACATACATTCATCAAGAGTTTTACAAACCAGTTGTAAGGCTGAGGACAAAGAGTGGAGCAAACTGCAGACCAAAGACACAAACGCCCAGAGCAAGCATCACAGAGACAGGCTCTGCTTGGGTCCACTGGTAAATAAACTGTAATTAGGACGGGTGATCATTTGGGAACATTAAATAGCTGTGCCAAAAATGTTGGTTTCCTGGACACAGTATAACGCAAAAGATGTTTTTCCACACCCATGTAGAGGATCAAAGCTTTTGGGGCCCCCTTTTGAAGGCCCTGAAACCAGTGTGCAAGAACCAAGGGGGGTTGAGGGTACCCCATCTCACCGAAACAAAAAGACTGGATAGATAGAGAGAATACTTGCCCTACTTACATCCGATAACACATTTTCATCTGACCCTTTCAGAACAACTACATTTTATGATAAAATGAGCCATTAATCTCTGTGGGTCCATTCCTTCACATTCAACAAGTGTAAAACACCATGCCAAAAAACATTTACATTGATTTCATGATAACATAAAAAACAATGATTATGTCACTCAATTTTGATATCATAATTTTTTTTATAGATAAAAGTGTGGTGCATCAGCAAGCTTCATATGATGAAAACGAACAGATGAAATTAAAATTATACCACATTGGCTTTTATGAACTTTACAAGTCAAAAGTTACAACACTGTTCACACACAGTTCCTGTGAGATCAAGATTTGCACTCACAGAAACATGTGCACATACAATGCTTTTCAGAGTTAGTTTAAATCATCTTTTTTGTTGGGTTCAATAATTACAAATAATCTCTTAATTTGATTTATTGCACAGCTCTAGCATGCACAAGTACAATTACAACATGTTCTGGTTTAAAATGCATTTTACTACAATCTTCTCTCCATTTCAGTAGTATGTCAACAGCTGACCTTTGAGTCACTGATCTAGGCTGATTCACCCTGGACTCTTCCTCATTTCAAACTCTGGACACAATTA